AACGGATTTTGATGCGGTTTTTTTTAATAGATAGAGTGACTCTTAAGGAAGGTTTATATGAATTATACATGTATATTTCACCCGTACGAAGCCGGGGCGGGTCGCTAGTAATAGAATATAATCAAGCATGTCTTTGTATTGTTCTCACATATACATACAATATTGGAATATGTATCAGAGACATTGTAGAACATACTTTTTTATAAAGAGTAATGCATATAGTTTCTTACTCGTTCTTCTCCATTCGAGTCTACATTTTGAAATGAGCACCTAGCTTCACTGGTGGACTGACTGACAGACATATTTATTTTGTATTTGTTGACGTTTCAAAAGTACAAAACTATGGTTTAATTGAAATAAATGCTTTGACTTTGAATATATGCTGAGCAGCGGGTGAAATTGCGCAGGAATAGCTAGTCTAGTAGTAAATGAAACATATTCTTAGGAAACAAAAGACATACTGTTTTTATAATAACTATCGTGAGACATACTAAATAAAGTAAAAACGCTGGTTCCTCACGTGAATATACTGAGAAAAGCTCTACTAGTTTCGCGACGTCGCCGCGACCGCGCACCGCTGCTCATGGGGAAGAACCCCTCTGTGGTTCGAAACTAGTAGAGCTTTTCTCAGTATATGTACGTGAGTAACCCGCGAGGCGAGACATACTGTTAAAAACTAAAGATATGAAATAAAACAACAATATACAAGGTCAAACCTATATTTAAAACTTAGTACTTTTCCTTCTCATTGCTGGTCTACTTAACGGTAACTTTAAATGAGCAATCTTCTTCGCTCCAATCGTTACCAGCGTCGCACCAGTCAACGCAACCTTAGACGCCACAGTCCGCTGAGTCAACTTCAACTCCTGACACAATTCATCGAAATTAAACTTATAATTATTCAACAATAAAATAAAAACTAACGCGTGACATAATGACTTGTCCTTATACTGTGGTGAACGTCCTCGTTTACCGTTAACATTACTTAAGAAATTTTTCAGCACAATGTCATTTAGAGTCACAGAGTATGGACATGCTGCAAAGTTCTTACGGTTTATATCTTTCATTAGTGTTGCGTATAATTGTAGTAGCGTTTGAGCATATACGAGTAAAACAGATTGTTTTTCCAATAGATCTTTAGTTGCCATAGATTTCAAAAAAGGATTTAACTCGCTTAAATACTTTGTTCCTTGTATTTCGCTAAAGATCTTTTCTCGCTGTTCTGGAGTTAATATAGTGTCAATATCATATACTTCTTCGACTTTAGTAGCTCCTCGGTTCATAGGGGGTATGTAGAACTCATCAGAATCGTTTTTATTGTAAGAAGATAAGTCTAGCTGGTCTTCAGTAATGCTTGCAGTGACATTATGCATTTGTTCGGTTACAGTGTCAACATTAACCTTCAATTTTTCACGTTGTTCCATTATCTGTTTATGCTTTTTCGATCCGAACTTCCTACTGAGCTCTAAATAACTATTTTCCATCACTTCCGTAGTGTCTAAATTTGATTGTAAGCACGGTTTCAACTCGACAGTACCAACTTCTATTAAACGCACTTTTCCCGTTGTTTTGTCCCGTGCCAGTATCAAAGTTCGCCCTAAATCTTCTTGTTCTTCTTCTCCGCTGTATATTAAGTCGCATAACTCCGTTGCCACAGTCTTCTTTCCACTTTTTTCGTCTTCTAGTAAAACGCATTCACTTGTCTTGAATTTTTGTGTTATGTAACCATTTTGAAAGCTCACAACCATTGGGTATACGCTCTCTTTTGGATAAACTTCGTCTATATGTAGTTGAGCCATTGTTTTATTTATTATTTTTCTATTAACAGCTCACATGTGTATGTTTACCAAATATTCGCGTGAAATATAGAGGTTAGAGTTTAATGTCAAAGTGATAACAAAAATTACCACAGATAGTACCAAGGGTGTTAACGATTTTACGTTTTGTTGCAAAACGCGATGAGTTTCCGATGTTATTGGTGAAGTGAATTAAACATAATTATTTTAATATTAATAAAGCATTTATTTACTGTTCAAATAAAAAAATCTAATAATTAAAATCTTAAAAAATATGTAACTCAAAATAAATTAATTTAAGGAATGGTTTTAAATTGAAAAAAGAAAACATACTTGTCTTACGCTTCGTCAATTTCACATATTTTTATAATCTGCTAGCCCAATCAATAGTACGGAGAAAAAAGATTCTTTTTTTAGTTTAGTATAGTAGCTTTTGACGTTTCTTTAATTCTTAGTAAAAAATCAGAGTTCAAAATAGCTAATAGATTTTCTTTTACGCTGAATGTTTGTACTATATACATATATATGTACCTACTTCTGTCTAATTTATCATAAATTGGAAACCTTAATGTTATCGTGGCGGGTTACGATCAGAGCCGAATTATCCCTAAATGCAAACTAGGCCATTGTCTAATGTGTCAGGTTTTAGAAGGTGCGGGCATGTCCAACTGCCCATAGAGGGGTGGGGGCGCCAAAAAATTTAGGGGCGCCTATGAAGTGCTTGTCTCGGGTGCTCTCTTGGTCGAATGCCCGTATATGAGACACAATAGAAAAATACATTCGTTCTCGCGTGGATCCACGTTAAGACACACGACGGGTTAATCCGTTTTTGGTTACGATACAACTTACGTGCAATTGCAATATTTAAATAAAAGTCTAATTATTTTTTAATAGTCATTTATTTTATTTTAATAATAGGTAATTAAACAAATCAACAATAAGTCATGCATTTAAAACAATAATATCATTTTATTATAATATATTTTTGGGGCCCAAATAGGGCCGATGCCGATTCGGAGTCGCGGAGAACCTAACGGGTAACCGGGGCTCCGGCTCGACGTGCAGGAGAAGGAACGGGGTGGTTTTTAGTCAGTAAGAGTCTGACACTCTCTCCCGCCTCACCCAGGCGGGAGCAGTCATTCGATAATTATCCCCCCTTAAAAAAATTATATATTCTTAATTAATTCAATCATAATCACAACAATTTTTAGAATTAAGCATAACATTTATTTCATACGATCGTAAAAATTTGGTTACCTATTCTAGGAAAAATAAATTATAACTTAAATTGATTCAACAATTTCAAATTAAACGACTTCTCGAGGATTAAATAAACTAAGGCATAACTGATTACATTCAATAAACAACAATTTTTAATTTGACGACTCGAAGATTCAAATTAAAATAAAATTAAGTTAAAAATTAATAACAATGGATTAAAATTATATTACTTTTCTACTATTTAATACTTTGTTTAGGATTTTCACGCAGTAGAGAAAAAATAATCAGAAAATAATATTTAAGTTAATGGGGGCCGAAAATATAGTGAAGAAACCTAATCTCGGAGGAGATAGGGTTTTAACAAAAAAATATTATGCCAATTTTAACAGCCTGGCAAAAAAAGTAGAGGTACTATATTCCGATGTTTAATCATGGGATATAGTCCGAAGTAGATGATTCAGTCCAAGTCAATGTTAGTTATAGCTGCCACCGCGTCTTCCAACTTGGGATAAGGATAACTTTGCTTTGGCGGGTGAACTGTGCGGCGATGACGCTTTAAACTATACTTATGAAAGGTACTAAACGGACACAAATCACACGAATGCTTAACAACCCTATGCTTTCTCCTATGAATTTCAATAACCTTTCTAGACGCAGTTTTAAACCCACATAATTTGCAAATCTTTTCAGTTTCCTGAATTGGAGGTTTAATATTGACTCCAGTTACACGATTTTCATGTCTGGCACGATGCAATCTCAAATTTCTACCGTAACTGGTCTTAAAATCGCAAAGATCACAGGCATATTTATAATTTTTTGTATGTATACTTAAATGTAGGTTGAATGCGTATTTTCTGAAAGTCGTATAAGGACAGAAAGAGCAGGCGAATCTATTAGGATTTAGGTGTTTTTGTCTATGACTCGAGTAATGCTTTCTAGACATAATTTTTTCACAAAATTCGCACTGCCTTAGCTTCTTCCCTGAGCTTTCTTCTGAAGTATTATTTTGAGTAGTTTCGGAGGTAATTGTAGATTTAGAAGAATTATCATCATTAATTTTGAAAAATTGAAAGTTTTCTATAGATGTTTTGTCCATAGGAGTTTCAAATTTTTCGATTTCCATTGGAGTAGGGTCTTGTACTTTAGTTTCTGATACTTCTAAGTTTTTTAATTCAATCGTTTTGGTGTTCATTCCAGATAAAGTCTGATTTGAGTCATTATTTTCGATTTCTTCGTCGATTATATCGAAATGTTCTTCAGTGAGAAACTCCTGACATTTTGTTACTACTGTTTTTTTGGTCCGAAGTGGGTTTGGTGTACCTATAACGACAAAACAATTCTTTTTTATTCAAAATTAATGAAATAAAACTCACTAACTTATTTAAAATACTAAACAAACGCGTACGAATTATTAATTAAGTAATTAAAATGATATTAACACTTACGGGTAACTTCTCCATAATATTTAGTATTATTGTATTTAGTCAAGTTGATATGGAGGGCGTTAGCGAACTCGCTACCGTAGAATACCATCAACTCAGTGAAACGAGGAATTATTTTTATTGTTCTGAAATATTAAACAGATTAAAACATACATTGCTG